AGACAGGACAAACAGACCAAAAGATAAGCTAAGCTGTTTCCCCTGAGCATCGGTACTGGAATACAATGACCATTTTCATGTTTTATTTTAAGTTATTTTCAGAGCTGGAGAGATGGCTCAACATTAAGAGTACTGGCTGCTCTTGGAGAGGACCCAGGTTCAGTTCCCAACACCTACATAGCGGCTAACAGCTGTCTGTAATTCCAGTTCCAGGGGATCCAACACCCTCTTCTGACCTCTGCAGGCATTGTACAACATGAGTGCACCTACCTACATGCAAGCAATATACTCATACACATAAAATAAAAAATAATAAATTTTTAAAAAGTTATTTTCAAGCATTTGTACCCAAACTACTTAAATAATTTTTATCTATCCCGCAAAGTTAAGTACCAGTTTGGGGGCATATTTTTAACAAAACTGTCTCTTTCTGGGGGAAAAAAAATCAGGTCTGCTGGAAGCAGAGAGCAAAGAGAAGACAGAATCGGGTTTGGAAATTAGACTAAGCCACCAGAAGGTGCTTATTCAGTCTGAGGCTTTAGCAATCAAACAGCAAGAGAAATAATAAATGCAATTTGGTTTTTGAGATGGGAGGATCACACTTCTCAGGTCAGGGTAGACTTAAGCTTGCAATGACCCTGCCACAGCATCCCGAGTGCTAAGTAAGTACCACTTTTAAGATCTGCCATGGGAGCAAGGCTGGGAGTTGCTTGCTTGGTTTCTAGAGTTAAGTGGTGGGTGTCCTGCTTGGCAGGTGCAAGCCCCTGTGTTCTATCCCCAGTATGGCTTCACTTTCATGTATGCTTAGAGTTTTCTACAACCAGTAGTTTAAATTGCTCACAGGACACCGATTTTGCCAACCAGCTTCCTCAATCCCTCCTCACAAAGCTGCCAGTTCAGTTCATTGGGGAGTATTTATACATACATGTGGCAAATCTCTGCTGTCAATGTGTCAATTGTTTTAATGAACATTTTTTAACTGTTTACCCTTACTGTCACAAAAACTGCTCATATGTTGGTTACAGTTTATTGAGGCTGAGCTGAAAGCAGGGAGCAGGGTTGAGAGCAGGGGTCAGACCTGTCGTAGGCACATCCTGCCCCATGGTCTGGCTCTCTGGAAACCCGGGAGGTATATCTACCCTTGTGAAGAATTCCCGGGATCAGATATTAACATTGCCTGCCAATAAAACAACCACCAGAAAGCATCAAAGAGCCAAGAGTCCAGCCAGCTCTGAGACTAGGTGGGAAAAAAGGGTTTGTGTTTTACTTTTGTTTTTATTTATTTTAACATTTATTTATTTTCGTTTGATTAGTTTGGGTTTCCTTCTTTTATTTTGGTTTTTTTTTTTTTGAGACTGTGTCTCATGTATCCCAGGCTGGCTTCAAATTAACTATGTAGATTGTATTCCTGATCCTGAGGCCTCTACCTACTGAATGCTGGGATTCTACCAATAGCTATGCACCACGATATCCATTTAACTTTTGTTTTAAGAGGCACAGTTAGACAAAAGAAATGGGGTATCTGGGATTGTTCTGTTTACATTTTCTGAACTGTTATTAAATTGTGATGTGATTATCAATGTAATAGCAAGGAACATTTTCATAAAGATTTGACCTGAGCCTTTAAAGAACAGACCCAGTGTTACTGGAGAGAGGAGAGCAGAGTCCAGACCATCTCATCTTTCCTGTCACTGCCCTTGACAGGTTTCACAGCCTCTCTGTGCATCAGTGTCCTCATCTATGAAATGGCAAGTAGTAGCAAAATAGGGCTAGTACACTCCCTCAGCATGCGTGAGGCCCTGGTTCACCCAGTCCCTAGCACTGCAAAGAAAAAATAATGCAGTAATGTTTATTTCAGAGAGTGCTGAATTTGTTCGTTTGATGTGAGGGAGTCTGTGGTTTCTGTCTGCTTGACATTGAGTGTGAAAACCAGGCCTCCTACACACTGAGCACACGCTCTACCACTGAGTTCCACACCAAGCCCTGTATTGTTATTATGTGAAACTGAAGTGTCCCCCGCTGCCTCCTGTTTGGCATGCTTGTTCCTCAGCTGATGGTGTCATTGCGTGGGGGGGGGGTCTTTAGGAGTTGGGCCCAAGCTGGAGGAAGGAGGTCACCACAGATGGGCTCTTGAAGGTTACAGTCAGCCTCTGCTCTGCCCTCCTCCTCATCCATCATGATGGTAACAGCTCTGCCACCAGGGACTGAGCCAGTCTGCCCAGGCTTCCCCTGACGAAACTTCTCTGAAACGGTGAACCAAAATGAACCTTTCCTCCCACAGTTGTTTTTCTCTTTATTTTTTAAGACTTATTTTTGTAATGATGTGTTCCTATTATAGATTATGGACAATTATATGTACACACATGGGTATGTGTATGCGAACACAGATGCCCATGAAGACCAGAGGTGTCAGATTCTCCTGGAGTCAGAGTTACAGGCAGTTATAGGTGGCCTGGCATCCATGTTCATTGCTGCCCTTTTCACAATAACCAGGAAATGAAAACAACCTAGATGTCCATCAAATGATGAATCCATAATGAAAGTATGGTATGTATATACAATGGAATATTATTCAGTTGTTAAAAAAATGAAATTTGCAAGTAATGGACGGAACTGGAAACAATTGTGCTGAGTGAGGAAACCCAGAAAGACAAACGCCACATGTTCTCTCTCATAGCTGGGTGCTAGCTTTGAATTCTTAGATATGTATGTCTCAACTGAAAAATCCAGAGAGGTCAGGAAACTAATAACTGGCCGAGGGGAGAGGGAATTCATGAGGCAGAGATAGAATGAAGTGATATAAACAGGAAGAGGGGAATAATAGGGTAGGAAGGGTTAATTGGGGTGTGGAATGGGAGGGCAGGGCAGAGGTGGGAGTACGGGGAAGATAACTAACACTAAAAGCCTTTAGAAAAAGTCGTATGGAAACCTACCACTATACGATCTTAAAGTAGATGCATATACATTATAAAAAGAGATTTAAAGGAGTTACCTTATAATAGGGGGGACATTGCTCCTAGTAAAGACCCAGTGCCAGGCAGGAATGGATTCTCTCTTTTGAAGCTGTTCACCAAGGGTCCCATTAGATCCTCAAACAATACTGGCCAATGCCCTGCTCTTGGTTACCCACCAGAACTTGACAGTAAGACCCACTGCTAAAGACACTACAAACGTAGGCCATGGGGGAAAAAAGGAAAAAACAAGCTGGCTTCATCTCTACTGGCTAGTTTTCTTAGAGCTGGAAGGTGCTACACGTGCAACCGGGAGAGAAAATTAACC